GTAGCAAAATTACAGTTATAGAGTAGCAATGAAAATAATTTTATGGTTGGGGGTCACCACAACATGAGGAACTGTATTAAGGGGTCGCGGCATTAAGAAGGTTGAGAACTGCTGCACAGGATTGAAGGAAAGCATCAAGCAGGACCTGACCTAGCCCGGGGACCCTAGAGGCTTTCTTGAGGAGGCAGTATATAAGTGCAGGCCTGAAGGAAAAGGAGAGGCAGGGAGTGCAAGAATTGAAGTGGAGCATTCCAGAAGGAGAGGGCTGCATGAGTGAAGACCCTGAGGCAGGAAGGAAGGGCTTGTTCCAGGTAGAAGCGGTTGCCAGCTCAGTGTAGGTGGAAGAAGTAGGACAGGGTGGTATGAGTAGGTTTCAGAGATGTTTAAGAGATGGACTTGGCAGAGCTCAGTGATCAATAGGATGTGGGCAGTAAGAGTAAAGGAGTATTAGGAATCACTATCCTGTTATCTGGCTGCTGGGAGGTGGGGCCCTAGTTGAGGATTCCAGCAGAGGAGCTGTACTGGGCAATGGGGTAAGATCACCAGTTTCTCATTTGGTACATGGAGATTGAAATCCAGTGGGACATAAACTTGTCTAGTGGAAACCCTGCTTTGCGTGGAGTATCTTACCAGGCTGTGGGAGAGATAACTTGAGAGAGTTCTTGGAGCCCAGAGCTTGGTTTGGAAGCAGGATTATAGACTGGCATTGAGGCCCTCGTAATTTACAAAATACTTTCACATGTATTATCTCTGAGTGTCACAATGATTTTGGGAGAAAGTCAGAGGAGTTATGTCTTTCATTCTACTATTAGGAAATTGAGGTTTCCTGAGTTTGTGATTTGCCCAAGGTCGCACTGCTATAAGTAAGGACCGAGTACTCAAATTCAGATCTTCTGACACCTGGCACAAGGGTCTTCTCATTTCACCATGTTGCCTCACTACATGATTGGGTTGAGCTCTCCACCAGCTCTTGGGTTTTCCATGTCAGATGGAATCTCACTATTTGTGCAAAATAGATAAGAAATGAAATCAAAGTCTTTTATTTCTATATTCTGTTCACATTTATCTTTTATTATTCTTTTTTACAACAGTATTTGTAAATTTTTTTGTAAGCTTTTGAGATTAGTATTTATATTTAGAGCAAATTTTCTTTTTTTTAAGAGTGAAATTTCAAGGACAGATTAAAGTAGCTTTTACTGGTTGTGGGGAGACAGTTGTCTGGGAGAAATTAAGTTCAACTTTTGTCGAAATTCTAATAATTTATGAAACATTATAAGGCCTCTGTCCCCTCACCTCCCATTCCCAGATATATTCCTGAAGTGGGGGTGGGGGTGGGGAGGGAGCATCTAAAACAGCTCAGCACAGGCCGGCCGAGTGGCTCAGTTGGTTAAGAGCTCACTCAAGAGTTTGACCTCTGAGCAACAGCGGTTCGTTTACCGGCCCGAGCTGAGCAGCCACTGAGCTGCCAATAGGTGGCAGGATGGCTCAGCTTAAAACAAACAAACAAACAAATAAAACAGCTCAGCATATTCTCCCAACATGTGCCATGTTCCCAGGGAGCCAGCCAGGGGGCTGAGGGAGGCGAGACACCAAGCTGCCCTGACACAGCAGGGGCAGAAGAGTCTTCCCCACCAGCCTGGCTCATTGATTTGCTTTCTCCCCTTCTCTTCAAGCCTTGGGGATGTTTAAGTAAAGTTAATTGGAGTTTGTTTCTGAGTCTGTTTTCATTGCATCAGTTCTGGACTTACACAAAACCTCAGGTTCAGGGAAAATCGCCTTTCTACAGACCTAGTTTCTCCACTATATGAAAAGCTTCCCCCTGAACCTCCTGTTGTTCTTCACTTCCTCCCGATAGCTCCTGGATTGTTTTGTGATCCCGGTCGTGATTTTGCTCTCCTGGTTCTTCCTGCTGATCCGGTACAAGGCCGTGCATTTCATCGGCATTGTCGTCTGCATCCTGGGGATGGGCTGCATGGTGGGAGCGGACGTGCTTGTGGGAAGGCATCAGGGAGCAGGTGAGTTCTTGTGTGTGCACCGGGTTACTTGCCTCTGTGGGTGAGGCCAAGGCAAAACATGGAATGCTCATGGTTGGGTGGAAAAAAGGAACCGGGTCTTCCCGGAGTTTGTGTCTTACTCATGCTTGTTCCTCAGCAGCTAGAATGGTGACACATAAGAGGTGCTTAGTCCATGTTTCTATAGTGAATGAAGTCAGCAAAATAAAGGTTTTGGGCTGTTTCTACAGGAATTCAGAAATACTGAGATTGTGGTTAAAACTGAGAGCCAGGATCCATTGGGAGGATATTTTAGAGGCCAGAGCTGCTTGGCCCAGACCACCTGGTTAGAGATGGTGCCAATGGGTCAGACCACTCCTGAGCCACAGGCACCACAGGCACCTTCCCAGCCCCTACTCCCCCACTCTTTCTCTCCAAAGTCAGAGTAAGACTGAGCTTTCAAACTACTGGGTGAAGGTTGGTATATAGGCCTAATGGAGATTTAAATTTTAAAGACTAGGATTAGGAATAATGGATATTTTTATGAGGGAGAGCTTAAAATTTAGTTTCTTCATGCATGGTTTTTGTTTTGTTTTATTTGTTTGTTTGTTTCGGAGGGACAGTTTTTGGTAACAATTTACCTTGAAGACCTACAAGGTAAAGTTTCGAGATTTCCTCATCAAAGTGCTATGAATCTTCTGGGAAGCCCTAATCTAGGATGGTTTCCATTAGTGGAGAGAAGGTGTTTGCAGTCCATGGCATTGACAACTCTGCCCTGGAGCCTATGGAATGGTATATAATGTGGGAAGGACGCAAACAATACTTAGGTTCCAATTCTGTGCTTGTCACAGGTATAACTGGCCATCCACCATAGGAAGCTTCCATGCCTTTGAGCTCACCTGAAAGGAGATGTCTTTTCCATGTTTGTCAATGAAATCATTGTGCTTATGTGTATATTCTCTCTTTGCCACCTTCCTTCAGCATTATAGGCTTCTCTGGAGGCCATCTCTGCATTTACTGATGTATGGAGGGAAAGGCACGCAATAAAGGCAGCCCCTGAGACTATTATGATGTTGGAGTGTATAAAAAGACTTAGTAAGACCAAAGAGATCCTTCTCCATAACATTTCTACTTTCCTTGGAAAACTTATGGATATAAAAGGGAAGTTTAGGAAGTAACAGGATTAAGGTAAAACTCAATTAAAATAGCTCCTTATTATAAAATGTATATCTTGCTCTTCAAAGTATCCTCTTCCTGCCATAATACATTTATTGCATTGTATAGTTCATTTATCAAAGATGGCAGATGCCCAGAACAACATTTTCTTATTATTAGACTAATTTTATATGTATTTTAAGGAACAGAAAATATTTTCAGGGAGCTAGATAAACACAAAGTAAAAGTGACAATTTTATTGGTGTCAGGTATTTTCACATGCATTAGCTCATTTAATCCTCCTAATTTTGCAAAAAGTATTTTTATTCTCATTTTTGCAGATGAAGAAATCAAGGTTCAGGGAGGATAAGGAACTTGCATAAAAGCACACCTGTCCTAAATGGTGTGGCCTACACGTGAAATCTAGCCAGTATTCTTTCTGCTATACCACAGTACTTATTTTTCCATAATTGTGACTCTTATAAGAAATATACAACTGTTATATTGTAGTAAATTAGGTTGAATGACTTTCCCAGATTTTCCAGAATGGAGGGGTTTCCCCAGATCTGGGACATTTGGTTGTAAAACCAAGAGAGTCCCCGGAAAACAAGGTAGTTTGTCATATTTAAAACTCAAAAATATTCAGTGAGATGGGTTCCTTTCATAAATTGCATTGATAGTCTTTCAGCTCTCCAGAATAGTATAATTCACCATTTAATTCTTGGTCTGGTGGCAAGTAGTGATTTTGAATAAACTTTCCTTTTCTTCTCCCACTGCCACATATAGTCAAATATCCTTCTAAACATGGTATTCCTAGTACTTAAGCAAAAATCTAATAGGTAAGGCCAATTTTTTTTTAAATTGGGGAATTGGGGGAGGGGAACAGTGTTGGGGAATTGGGGAGGGGGACCAGCCAAGTTGTTGTTCTTCAATCTTAGTAGTAGAGGGTGCCAGTCACTATCTGGCTGCCCCTCGGCAGCTCGTGGCCTCTAAGCTCAAGGTGCTGTGTTCAATCTTAGTTGCAGGTGGACGAAGCCACCATCCCACGTGGGAGTCGAACCAGCAGCCTTGTTGTTAAGAGCACACGCTCTGTCCACTGAGCCATCCAGGCGGCAGCTCAGCTCAAGGTGCCGAGTTCAGTCTTAGTTGCGGGTGGGCATAGCCCACCATCAAACAGGCAGTCTTGTTAGGAGCACATGCTCTCACCAGCTGAGCCATCCTGCCACCTCTTGGCAGCTCAGAGGCAGCTAAACTTGGGCGCAGCGTCACTGGCCCATATGGGAATCGAACTGGCGGCCCTGTTGCTCAGAGCTTGTGCTCTTAAGCTAACTCTTAACCAACTGAGCCACTTGGCTGGCCAGGGTAAAGCCATTTACCCTGGTAAAACCATTTTTGTAAAGCAATTGTGACTGGGTTTATTAGAACCAAGAAGGAATCCAAAATGAGAAATGGCCCCAAAGAGACAGGTGACTCTTCAAAGGGAATGATTGATTCAGTATTTTAACCACCATTAATCAAACACTTAATAGGTGCCTAATGATATGTTATAAGCATTTTACATTATTTTGCATTCTTTTACTTTATTTACATTATTTTACTGTGTCCTCACAATAACTTCATTTTAAAATAAGGAAACTGAAGTGCAGGAAGACTCTATAGCTTGTTGCCCAATGTTCAACAGCTAATAAGGGACAAAGATGTGATTTGAACCCATGTCTACCTGAATTGAAACTTATTGCCACTCAAAATCTTTACCATAGGATGGATTAAGACCTTGTCAGTCAGCATGATTTTGAAAATATGTATTGAGAATTTATGATATTCTAGGATCCATGCTAGGGAGCACACAGTATATAAAGCTAAGTAAGTCACAGTCCATGCTCCTCCAATCTACTGTGTTAAAAAACAGGTGGGAGGCAGCAAAGACATGCAAGTCCACGAATAGCAGATGTGGACTAGAATACAATGGGTGCCATACAAGGTAAAATGATGTGAAATTTGGAAGAAGAAGACAAGGCACTGGGTTGAACGGACTTCTCATAATTTCAGATGTGTTCATTTACCCAAAATTTAGAAAACATAATCACTTGTCATGATGGTTTCATATACATAAATGACAGATATTCTGGGTATAATTTTCCCCAGAACATTGCACAGAAACTGGCACCACCATCTTAGGTATCTACTGCATTAACAGTGCATAAAATATGGAGTCACATGTAATTTCCAGTTAACTAGATACAAATTGTAGATACAAAATATTAGTTTTAGTACTTTCTTATACTTACATCAAACATTTCATTATATAATATGGTCAGATAAAATCATGTCCTGGTTAAATTTAATTATATTTAATCAACTATATTTTTACACACATGCTATATGTATATGTGTGCACTTTTAAATGATGTGAAAACTGGTGAATACACTTACTAGTAAAATTTTGGTAAATAATATTTAATCTTTTTGTCACTGATAACCAGAAAATACTTCTGAACCTGCAGTTACACAAAATTGCATTATTATTAACAATAATTATCACTGCATTGGTGAAAACTCAAAGAATTGGGAAGTAGATTGCGTGCAGTTGAAGGCCAGTTAAAGGAATAGGCCGTAAATGTGCGAAGTGGAGTTTGAAAAAAATTAGTGAAATTCTTCATTGAAACAGTGTGGCCTCTTTATAGGATTTTTAAAAGGTGGACTGATGTTCCCCTAATTTCTATTAAAACATTTCATTATAATTTAGCTTTCCTGAATCTATTCATATAAAATTAATTTCATTAACCAACAATTCTATTAAGCGGCACTTCCACACTTCACTAGTACAACAGTAACTGACATTCATGATAATGACCCGTGTCATCACAAGATTCTGAAATGGCTCCTGAATGAAAAGTAACCGAGTTATGTTCATTATAATTTTATAATTTTCATAATGGGTACTTTTACTTTGCAGATAATTCCTCAAATGCACTGTTTAAAATGAAAAGTTTTGTCATTATTTTCTAGTTGACATAAGGAAGATTAATCAGGTTGCTGAAGATGACACTCCCTGTCACAGAAACCTTACTTTCCCCAGAATATGCACCCAGGGACCTCCCACGAGGTCTGGTTTCTCACTTTTGCCTGATAGTGGTCTCACTCATCTGCTCCCCATGCACCCAGGGAGCCTTCCGGCCCTTGCAAATCCAGGTTCTCAGCTCCTTTCCCTCAAGGGTGACTCCAGCAAGCTCTCCTGCCTTTCAGGGTCTCTTTCCCTTTCTCCCTGATCCTTCCCAGGAGTGGGAACTTGCCTTAGAAAAGGTGACACCATTTAGAGTGAATATATAATCTCCCAAGGTGAGCATAGAGGAGTAAACGAAGAGGTCTTTTCCCAAGCCCAGCCCAGATTCTTCTATGTGAATCCACTTCTAGAAAATGCTCAGTGCTCTCAAATGAACAGTGAGAATCTGGTTCTACAGTTTTAGATTGTTCCAGCTAATCTGGGAATCCAAGGCTACCCAAGGCGAGTCTCCCTTAGAATGACGCTGGAGAGAGCACCCTTCCTATCCCACACTTCTGCCCGGAGCTGCACGTCTGTCCAGCTTCCATGTGCAGACCCGCGCGGGACAGAGCTGGAGACCACCGGGGTACGAGCCCCCCAGTGAGGCTGCCCTGGCCGCTGATCTCCACTCGCCTTCCCTGGCTTCACACTTCCTGCAGTGGAAAGAGCTTGCCTAATTATAAGAAATAGCCACACACAACATGTATTAAAAATTGGACATAAACCGAAACCAACAAAAATTGAACTTAAACTAGATATGTTTTATGAAAAAAGAAAAATATTAATGTGATGAATTACATATACTTCCACTCTTAATGTTACTTAATTTAGGGGGCTTGAAAATGTCAACCCATAATCCCTTTCACTCTCATTTTTTAAGCAAAGACACATTTTGCCCGTGG